AGGAAGAATGAGCTTCAACGTATATTTCACAGATGTCCAGCACCACACCTGCTTTCCTAATATGATCTGGCCATTTGATTAGGCCCTTTGTATACATACATCTGACCTCCAAAACCATGTTCCCAGCTCTCCACTTCAGTACTCCTTCCCTTTTCTCATTCTTTCATCACATCCCAAACCTCTCAGTTGATTATATTTTCTAATTTTTTCACTGTCCCAATGAAAGAGGTCATTAGGAAGCAAGATTAATTTCTTTTCTCATTCTCTCTCTGTTTGCCTGCTCAAATTCACTTGTATATTATGGCTTTCCAGGCAGAAACATTAAGCACAAGGTCTGAAATAACAGTACAAAATGTTCTTTTCCATTTTCTACTCCCAGGTTTTAAGTGGCCTCATGTATCTGTGATGCTCCAAAATGCACACAATGCCGTCATTTTTAGCAATGTTTGACATAAATCTTGTCAGAGTTTGAAATATAAGACAACAAATATTCAAAGACTACTTTTAGTTCTTTCATAGTTCATTAAATATACAACTCTAACCATGTAATAGTTTTAATTTCCAAAATCATCATTTATTTTTGGCAAAAGTCTGTAACTTGCAATTGCAAATTTCTGTGTCAATAAAAAAAATAGAGAAAATAGTATGTCATAGATATACTAAACATTAAGAAGAGGGGAAATTTTCCATAATTTTTGCATATAGTAATTCTGGCCAATAGTCTTAAAAAGACTTATCTGATTAAAAATAGTTTTACACTTAATATTTAAGAATTAAAATTAATAAATATTTATCAAGACAGACCTCTAAGTAACGGTTTCAATGTGAAGGGGGTAGAGAAAAACAAAACATGGTCTCCTGATTTAAGGTTTCAATGAAGGAGAAATTGGATATATAACATATAGATAGATACATAAATGTCCCTTATGGAACTAATCCATTTCTACATTTCAATAAATTTTACCATTGCTACACAAAAGAAAACATTATTTTTTACCAAAAAAGGGGGAGTAAATGATTAGAAATAATCAAGCGTGGCAATTCAACATGAATAGAAACTAATATTCAGATATTCAAAAAATGAGTGTCTACCATCTGCCAGAGGATTGAAAATTACAAATCGTTCTAGCATATACTTTAAACAAATGACCTATATAATAAGGTAGAATTTTTCACAAACACTTTCAACTTTAAATGTATGCGGCTAACTGAGCCTTAGCATAGTTAACATTCTACAACTTAATTTCAGTTTTTTTTCACCTTTGGTAATTAGGATTTGAAGCTTTAGATGACTTCCCCCATAATATGCATAAATATCAGCATTTGTAAAGTATTTTAAGGGTAGGGAGAAAAATAGATGAGAGAAAAGGGAGATGAATTTGTCAGGTCACATGGGGTTTATGAATTAGGATATAAATCATGGTGTGTGTTAACCTACAGCAGCATGCCAAGGCAAAAAGTATTGGAAGGAACAGGTAAGAGGGAATGTGTTGGTGGATATGCCTTGGCAAGGTTTTTCAGGATGAGTGGCTGACAAGATTACAGAAATGCGGCCGGGTGTGGTGGCTCACACCTGTAATCCTAGCACTCTGGGAGGCCAAGGCGGGCGGATCGTTTGAGCTCAGGAGTTCAA